CACCACCACCACCATCATCATCATCATCATCATCATCATCATTATCACCACCACCACCATCATCATCATCATCATCATCATCATCATCGTCATCGACATCGTCATCGTCATTGTCATCGTCATCATCATCATTATCATTATCACCACCACCACCACCACCGTCATCATCATCATCATCATCATCATCACCACCACCACCACCACTATTATCATCATCATTATCAGTATCGGTATTGCTATCATTATTGTTATCATCATCATCATTATCGTTATTGTTATTGCTATATTGTTATTGTTATTATTGTTGTTGTTATTGATGCATTATCGTTATTGTTATTGCGCTATTGTTATTGTTATTATTGTTGTTGTTATTGATGCTAACAGCAATTATTAACCTTTCAGCATGAATACACATTTTTGATGTACCTAACACCAGACTGGGAGGCAAACAACTATGGAGAAACAGCATTTTTTGAAGAAATTTTATCCAAAGATGGCCAGCCATTCCCTCCAGGCAAACAGCAGTACGAGTGGATTGCATCTGTGCGCCCGCGGTATGGCAGAATTGTAATATTCCGCGGTATCATCCCTCATTCTGCTAGGCCACCAAGTCCTGGCTTCAGTGGAGCGCGATATACTTTTGCATGCAAGGTGAGTGAAGATTAAGTAATATTTAAAGGGGCTCCGTCACGGCTGTCAAGTTTGTTTTTTTAATTATGCCAACTACACGTCTTTGTTCGATATGGAACTTAAGGAATTACTTGTGAATGACAAAACCACAGGTTCGAGTCGAATGTTCCCAAGCATTATATAATATCATATCAAAAAGTACAAACATTAACCACAAAGGACTGCAAAGGACCGCAAACGAATATGCCGAAGAATGTCGGATCTATAAAGACCTGATCAGCAAAAATGAAAAGTAGACATATTAATTTCTGCAAGCAGAATACTACAATGCTGATCGTACTACGTGAAAATTAACTCTGCAAGACACCAACACGACACCGAAAGAGCTCAAAACAGAGCGGGATTGTAGCCATAGACAGCTGTTACCCCTCTTTGTGGCTCGTTAGTATGGCGTAACAACCAGAGAAAGCTCTGATGAAAAATATCCACGCACTCTGATTTAAGCCCTGACCTAGAATCCTCAACATATCAAGAGTTACTATCAATGAAAGTGAACTTTGAAAGACTGTTACACCATGATAGTTTTCAAAAACCAACAATTGCAATCCGTTTCAATCTTCTTCAAGTTTATCCATCAATACCTTCTTTTGTATTTGCTGTGTCATTTATAACTTCTTTCAATGTTTTTCTTCGCCCAATTTAGTGGCAGTTGCCAACGTGACAGAGCTTCTTTTTGCACTGGCCAATTTTTCTTGAAACTTGTTTTGAATTTTATTCTGCGAGCAGAGGTTTCTTTTCAGCATGGCTTTTAGCGTTTACTAAGTCGTTCCTGACTGTCTTCGTAAACGCAAAAAGCCATTCAAGAAAGAAACTTCTGCTCGCATGGTAGTTGCTTGAGACATTCAGTGTAACTCCCCGCCCCTTCTCCCCCTTGCAGTTTTTCTTGTAAGGAGTAAACTATTTATTTCATTGTTGCCAAAATCATTGTGAAAAGTAGGGCTTGATTTTTCCTAATTCGCTCGCAACAGTAGTGTTGCAAGACGTGTTCTTCAGAACATGAAATTTGGCCTTCATTTTTTTGGCACTTAGGCAATCAAATTCTGTACATTATTAGCCAAATTGGCGACTAGACTTCTTCATCACACCCTTGTTAAAAAAATGAAGATAAATCTTAAGCAAAAATGGGCGCCCAAAGCTCGTTGTTTGTGTCAGAAAATCGCCACATAATGATTTCTAGTGACAATAAAAAATATCTTACGTCTCTGTTACGGTCAACGACTTCTCGGCTAAATTTGTAACTACACATACAGGTCTCCCGCACCTATCGGCTTGCAATTTCCAAGGCCTTACGTGAAACTCTGGAATATCTGAGTAGCGACAATGAAGAAAATGTCGACGATCCAGTTGTTTTCGAGTTGCTAGAAGAAATGTCAGATGACGAAGAGATCGGCCCCGGCCGACCCACCGAGTATATTGAGGAACAGCTGGAAAAATATCGGCAGAAAAAGAAAGAATTTTACGAGGACACCAAGAAGATGACCATTGAGCAGCTTATTAATCCTCAAGGACAAGTTAAGGATGAGCTTTAACATCTGCCCGAGAAAAACCTAGGTTTCTTGTGTAAGGTGTTTGTTACGCTTACTGGTCGTTTCGATATGAAGTTGTTTGATACAAGTCCTTTCGATACAAGTAGATTCAGTCAAGGTATAAATAGTTTTGTGTAGTTTGTAGCCATATTTTTTTTTTGTTCTTGCACTAACTATACTTAATTAAGTTTGTATCGAAACGACTTTGTTTTGAACGACTTTGAGTCACAGCTCACATTCAACAAATCATCAGAGCACAGATCAGAGTGTTAACTCCAAAATGAACAGGACAAGAAATGTCTCTTAGCCCTAATCACTATCCAAAACTGGGAGAACTGTTTGGTTTATTGTGGTTATTCACCTGTCGATGAAACAATGATCTGTACTCTTGCCCTGTGAAATGTGATCCTGCAACAGAGACTTCCCACCCCTTCCCAGCTTGCAGCGCTGGCTCCTTTAAAGTCCAGTATAGTCCATGAAAATGAAATTCCCCACCCTCAACAGTTTTGGACCATTTTCGTATACTTCTTTACCCTGAAAACAACATTGCGGGTAAAGATGGGGGAGGAGATAGGAATTATTGGATGAATAAAGATTTCTGGGAAACGCCCCCCCCCCCCCCCCCCCCCCCCCCCC